CTCTCTCTCTCTCTCTCTCTCTCTCTCTCTCTCTCTCTCTCTCTCTCTCTCTCTCTCTCTGTGTGTGTGTGTGTGTGTGTGTGTGTGTGTGCCACGTAGTGCTTCATACTGTGTGCTACTTTCTTCCATTTTTTCGCAAAGTGCACTTAGTTGATAGCTATGTGACAACATTTTTTTTTCTGCTGCAGCCTCGGCGAGTTTCTTTCAGGCATCACCACCTTTCTGAAGCTTGGAAATAGGTTGGGGACTTCAGAATTCAACCGGGAAAACCACTGTGGCTGTTATCCAGCTTTTGCTTAGTGGATAAAATATCCTGGAAATATAGGCAGGCATACTCGCACATTTCTTCTAATTTGTTGGAAACCTGACGAGTTACAGTGGAAAAAAAAAAAAAAAAAAAAGAAACATGCTGGAAAACAGGTCCAGCATTCCGTAAAATGCTCACCAGCCTGCATATCATAAATAGGCACTTACCCCCAAATTTCTGGAATTTTCTCTCACATTCCAACACAATTTTTAATACTCCAAAACTACCAGTATCCACTACTTATCGACTACTTGTCTCAACGTGATCCCTTAGATCTCAGGTCCCTAGCAATTGTGATGTTGTGTTCCACCTGGTAATTGAAACCGCACCCCAAAGTAGTGGAGTCCAAAACCCCTTTTTCTTTTGTGCGAGGATTTAGTACTTCGGCGGTGTTGGAAAGGGGCCGTGCCCGCCCTAAGTGAATGCGGGCCTGCAAATATGTGCCGATGCCTGTTCATAGGCCTATGAGACCAGAGCCTGCCTTAAGTGAAGGCGGGCCCCTGAATTTCAATATGGCCTGAGTTTGTTAATTTTGGCAAAGCTTGGTGGGCGCCAGACATATGCCACGTGCCAGTTGGTTACATCATCCATACTCGTGAGAATCAGAAATAATTTGTGAGCCTTCTAGGCTCTTCCAGCAGCACAGGCGAACCAGGGAGAGACCTCATGTTTACTCGTGGGTGGTTGGGAGGCCTAACCAATTCGGTCCCAGGCCACTGTCTGAGTGGGCCTGGGCGCAGACACTTTGGCCCAATCGGAACCTACTGGAAACTCGGTCCAGCCTGCCAGGCAACTGGTTGAGCCCAGCCACTTTCCATATAGGAAAGTGCTGGGCTGCTGGCTGGTCATTTGGGCACTCGCTAGTGCAAGCGGCAGCGCTGCTGGAGTGAACGCTCGCGCCTGACTGCATGTAGATGTTGATGCCAAAGCGAGTGTGGTAGCGTGTGAAGCAGGGTGCTGCTTCTAGGCAGCGCCATAGCCGGCCTTTATAACCAGGCTGACTTGGTTGTCAGCGGGGGTCTGGTGGTGGTCTTCGTGTTGAGGGAAGACGTGGGTGAAGAAGTCGAGGGTGAGTGAGAGAGGGAGAGATGAGGATGATGACGTGAGGGCACGTACCTGGTCTTGGCGATGATCTACATGGTCGACATCTGCATGTTCTCGGTTGCTGCTGATGACGTCAACAGGTTGCATTGTCAATTCGTAGGCTGGGTAGCAGCTGTGTGATCGTAGTCTGGGCGCTGAGCGCCAAGTAGGAGGAAGGGCTCTGGATACATACGTTGGTGGTGGCGAGAGTATGCTCTCATTGACATTTGGATTCGGTGCTTTTTTTTTTTTTTTTTTTTTCCAACAAAACCGGATTAGGTGCTTTGGTTCTCCATTGGTGGAATATCAGTGCATATCTGCCTTCTGGACAGCGTCCGACTTCCTGGCTTTCAATGTGATTTCGCATTCTGGAATTCTGTCATTTCGCTATTGCTCATTTTCCTTGGAATTTGGTATCGGAGCTGGTTCGAGCCGCTCCGCTGGGTCCACCGCGATAGCTGTTTGGTGCATTGTCGAAGGATGGCGAGACAGTGATAAGGCTTGCTCGCTGGCTATTGAGGCGGTCCTGGGTCGAGAGGGCGCCCCCGGAAGGCTATGTGGTGACATAGGGGTGCACTCTGGATGATGAGAGCTGGCTGACGTAGCATTTAAGCCTAGGGGGAACTGCATTCTATTGTGGGTTGTGCTGAGGCATCAACCAGTCGTCATAAATGCACGTCAGGTTACTGGTGAGAAATCTGTGGTTGGGGGCAGCATTATGAGGTATGCTGCTCCTTACCTTATCTACCCTCTTCGTTGCTTCTTATCGTGAGGAAGTGAGGCTTGTCTTGAGAGTCCTCTCATTGTGAGGTATCACGAGTGCTCAACCTTGAGAATCGACATTCTTCCCGAGGGCATGCTGGTGGGAGACGGGCGCTGCCTCTGAAGAGCCCTGGACGAAGCACTTGGGTCACAGTTACCATGCCAATCCACTGGGAGTAGAGCACGCATGCTTTGCTCCTAAGTCCTTTGGTCTGTTTGCTGCGCTGTAGAGGTCAGGTTGGGCAGGCCAGCCCTATGAGGGAGAGACGAGTACTGGACCGTCTATAAAGAGACCCTGGGGGGGACAAACGGCTCGCGCTGCACGTGAGTATAAACATAGTATGGACGGGGCTGGTTGGTCTTGTACTGACTTGGGGCACAGGGGTGGGCCAATTGCACACCTTTAGGCACGCTGCTCCATCGGATGCTTTCGGGACGTCGACACAAAGTGACAACTCAAGAGAGATACAGGGGGAGGGAAGATTCCAGTAATTGCTCGATTGTTCAATATTGTAATATACTAATATTTCCATTCAGCATGCATTCCAGCGAATGATTTTATTTTTATTTTTGATTAGTTAGTTGTGACGGACTTCTAACAACTGACAGACTGCTGTAGATAGAATAGTTGTCTATTCTTGTTGCATTGCATCTGTTTAAGACTAGTCAGAAATAGGAATAGGATTGTTTGTAGGGGTCTGTGACCGCTTGACAATTTCCTGTGAAATCTGGACCGTATATTTATATTTATTAAGCAGGTGGGTGCCATGCTGCGGTAGGTCCCAGGGAGGACGCTAGTTCAGATACCATGCCACGTGTAGCTCAAGGGTGAAGATGACAGTGAGGTTGAGACACTAGACCAGGATGAGGGGAGGATTACCCGTGGACAGGCACTTAGTCGGCCGACCACTTGCTTGGTGTTAAAACCAGGTGAGGAAAGGAGACAGCGGAGAGCAGATGAGGAGACG